TTAGAGTTTAGCTTTTCGTATTAGATTTTCCAGATGTTGGGAGGCCTCCCAGCAGGGGAATTTATCCCACTCCTGCAAAGCGTTCAGTCATTAGGCGGGGATACTGTAGGAAGTTTCATACTTGCACTGTCGTCGGACCTGGTTTATGCAGTACCAGCCAGGGGGTGCATTTGGGTTCTTGGGAGGGAGTCTGGCAGAGACAGATGACTTGGATGAATCTTAAAAAAAGCTTGTGTATACCCGGTTTGGGTGTATTTGCCTTTATTGATTATGATGAGAGCAGCAGCAGTGATACTATGAAGCCTGGTTGTCAAGTACACAGGCTGACCCTATGTTGAACATGTTATGAGTTTTACTCTTAACTTTCTTATAGCAAGATTATACTGTGGGCTGAATTATGTCAAGGCTAACAGGCTTCGTATGGAAGGAACTGAGTTCTGCAGGAACAGTACCTTAGTTATTAAAGTGAAAATTGGCCCTTTGCAGTACGTCATGTCTTGTGAGGTATTAGCTTGGCAGCATGAATTAGCCTGTCCTCTTTTCTAGCGCTATATATTCCTACACAATATACACAGTGTTTTCTGAGATGACGCATACTTTAGAAGAGAGAAGAGAACCAGCATGTGAGACGGTTGTAGTGTTAAATGAGTGATAGTTGCACTGCTTTTTGAAAACATTACAGGTTGTGTGTTTATCTTATTAAACCAGTTCAGAGTGATGGTCAGTTCTAGGGTTAAGGAAGCCAGGGCTTCTCCACACTACAGAGAACAAGGCCAACTGAGTCGACTCGCATCATAAGAGGTTTTTCTCCTTCCCCTTCTTCTCAGTGTGTGAAGGAGTCTGAGCTTTCAGGTTACTGGTAGTTTGGACAGTTGAGTCCCTTTTTGAAGCTGTGTGCCATGGTTGTGCAGTTTCCAAAACCAGACAAGGATCCCTCTGGTTTTGTGAATCAGCTGACATGGTATGCTGTTATGATCCTACTAAGAGATGTGCTGTACAATTGACATGTTTAAGGGGTAGATTTGATGAGACAGAGCCAGCTGTGACTATCACAGTTCAAGATGAGGATGCACAGAGTAGACCAGACCAGACTGGATAAAGGTGTTAAAAAAAACTTTGTTAATGCGTTGTGCCCTTAGTCTGGGAATAGTGGAGGGACAACAAGCAGCAGACCTCTCACTTCCACTCATCTGTATTTGAGCTTTGCATTTTTAGACTAACCTACCTACATTTCTTGTTCTCAGTGAACACATCTAATTTCAGGACCATGCTTGTGGTGACTAGATCTTCCCCTCCTCTTTCTAAATTGTCTACACTGTTCCACAGCTCCCTAGCCGAGTATCTGAAAGCACCAGTCAGGGAGAAAGAAGCCACTGTGAGAGAAAGTATGCGGGTAGACGGGCTATACTGTTACAGAAAAGTACATTGTACTTCCTGGTTGAAAAGTTGCAGTTTACCAAGCTGTTTCCTGTCCCGCCAGAGACTCTGAGATGGGACGCTGGGACCCAGAAGTTGTCGCGTTCAGCTGTGAAGAAGGCAAAGACCCTGCTGTACCAGACCGTCATCGACAATGACTCCTCTGCACCACGAGTTGTTGATCTCTTCAGAAACATCAGGTATCCACCTCAGTCCACTTCATTAAATCTTTATTGTATTTGTAGTTAATATTGAGTGAATTTTTTGACTCTCCACTGATACCCAACCTTAGGAAACTGAAGCTGGGGAAAACAACCTGCTGATGCAGACGGGGCCATGAGGAGGCTGCTACAGATGTCCACCCCAACCTCTTTGGTCATGAGAGCTGAGACCAACTTAAGATCTTGAAGGAACTGTTTTAGCTGAAGCTCAGTCAGCTTCACCCGAGTCCACCTCCACCTTGGATGAGATGACTTCAGCTACTGAACTCTAACCTTTCCTCTGGAGTAGTGTGTTCCTT